GTGGAAGAAGGGCGACGAGGAGCCCGACGAGTGGCTCGCGCAGATGGACGAGGCGACCATGGAGGCGGCCATCGGCGCGGCGGCGCGCCGCGCGGCCGACGACGGCGACGGCGACGACGACGGCGGCGACGACCCCGCGCTCATGGGCGACGACCGGAAGCGCGCGGTCGCCGCCGAGCTCGCGGCGCTCCTGGAGCCCGGCGAGAAGGTCGCCGGGGGCGTGCGGCGCCTCGGGCGCGCGCTCAAGGCCAAGGACGCCGGCGCCGCGGAGGCCTTCGAGACGCTGAGCGGCCTCGCGGACGCGCTCGTGTCCGCGGGCCGCGCGGCGGTCTACGACGAGACGCGCGAGGACCTCGAGCGGTTCGCGGCGCCGCCGCGGGCCCTCGCGCCGGCCGGCGACGACCGCGCGTGGGAGTACCGCGCGACGGACGGGGCAGGAAAAGAGTGATTCAAGTTCGCTTCAACATGAGTGTTCCGCGCGCGCGCGTTCCAAAAAAAGCATCCACGCGACGAGAGCGCCCCGAGGGATGATCGCTCGTCCCAAAATCAGCCGAAACGAGCGGAAAACGACCGAGATAGGAGCCTTTGAAGTTGGGAATTTCGCACTCTTTTCCTGCCCAGGCGACGGACGGCGCCGTCTACGGCCCCTACGACACGCAGACGATCCTCGACTGGCGGAGCGGCGGCTTCTTCACGGGCGACAGCGCCGTGCCCATGCGCGAGGTCGCCAAGGCCCCGGCGCCCAAGCCCGCGGCGGCCGCGGACGACCTCGCCGCGGACCTCGAGGACTCCGACGACGACGACGCGCCGCCGCCGGAGAACCCGAACCGGTGGGTCCACTCCGACGACATCGACTTCCTCGGGGACGGCGTCGAGAGCCCCCTGCCGTAGGTCGCATCTAGGGACGGTGTACCGGGGGCCCTACGCGAGCGCGGCGCGCTCCGCGTCGACGGCCCGCGCGTAGCCGAGGCCCGCGGACTCGTCGAGCAGGGCCAGCAGCGTCGCCGCGGTCTCCGCGTTGGCGTCGAGGGCGGCGGCGGCCGTCGCCGCGAGCGGGTCCGGCGACGCCGCGAGCTTCTCGCGGATCTCGGGCAGCGTCGTCGGCGAGAAGCACGCCTCCGCGAGCTCGA